GCGAATGGTTAGAGCATGCGCGTTGCATCGACTCCCCGGTTGTACGAGACAAGGATTAGGGTCGCCTGTCTAACCTCGTGGGTTTTCTCCGGGTACTCGCCCCCCACATATGTTAGTCCCGAAATGACCTAGGTTGTGTCGAATGGACTTTAAACCACCCCTCTCTCCCCCTCTCTCTCCCTCTCTCTCTGGGGGGTTGGATGGCCGAATGGTTAGCACGTGCGTGCTGTATCATAAGGCCTGTCATTGAGTCAACTGGCGTGGTTTCGAATCCCCGGTTGTACGTGACAAGGAGTAGAGACGCCTGTCAAGGCTCGTGGGTTTTCTCCGGGTCCTCCGGTTTCCTTCCACTGCTAAAGACCCCTACGCGCAAGCGAATTATTGAAATAAAATTAAACCATATGTTAGTCCCGAAATGACCGAGTTTGTGTCGAGTGGACGTTACCCTCTCTCTCTCCCTCTCTCTCTCTCTCTCTCTGTGTTGATGGTTTATGGATCAGTCTATAAATAAATCCGTAGATTAGATAGTTTATTGTTATAACCTTTATTCCCTTATCTTCCATATAGAAATCACATGGCATCGAAATCAACACTCTCGTATATTTGACCTACCTATATCATATCGTATCCAGGTCACAAACGTTTGTCAATAATAAATGTAATGAAATGAAATGGGGTTTAAAGTCCTACCCTACTGGGCTAATGAAGACAGGCATACACCATACATTGTGCTATGAGTGGAAATTTTACCCGGGCAACGGCATTATATCGAATTATAAGGGATCTTTTACCCGCACTCCAATGTATACGCGGGACCTCGGTTATCGTCCCATCCGAACGACTAGACCACTGTCCTTGTCAGGCCCTCCGTCCTGCACCACTGACAAGGGGAAACCGCGTTGGAAACTTTCAATGATCTTTCTCGGTCAATGCAGGGATCGAACACGCGACTTCACGCCCAGCGAGCCAACGTCTTACCCACTTAGCCACCGTGGCTCCCTTGTCAATAAAAAAGAGATAGAAAGAGAAATGAAGGTTAATATCCGCTCGTGGTTCAACTTTATTTTAATAATTGGAATGTGCGTAGGGGTCTTTAGCAGTTGGAGGAACCAGAAGAACCCTGAGAAAACACACGATCCTCCTCCTTGTCACGTACAAGCTCAGAATGGACACCACGCCATGTGACTCAACGATTCGTTAAAGCATTCGGCCACCCAACCCCCTTTGTCAAAATAATAATCTTATTTCTGTGAACATCCTAAATAAATCAAAGTGGTATCAATTGTTCTAGACAAGCATACTCTGCTCAGTACATGACATACACAACTATCTACATCTACTAGTAATTTAGATAATTTCTGAAAGGCGATGTGGTATCAGGGTTTCTCTGTACAGTAAGCATACTTTGCCTTGCTCACGACACTCAACACAGTTTTTGGTAATTACTAGAGTGAAAAATGTCATGTTATGCTAACCTATGTTTGTTTGGGTTTTTTTTTTATCTTAACGCTAGCTTAAGTCAATCTGTGTGAAATGGTCGCCAATCCACTATTTATAATAGTGCGGTTACAAAACAGGGAAATGAAATGGAGTTTAACGTCCTACTGTTCTGCTCCTAACCTGGGCTAATGAAGACAGACATACGCCATACAGTGTGCTATGGGGGAAATTGTACCCGGGCAGCGGCACTATGGCCTACTCTTATATCAAATTCCAACTGCCAATGGATCTTTTACTTGCACGCCAATGTATACACGGGACCACCTCGGTTTGTCATCCCATCCGAACGACTAGACAGTTGTCCTTGTCAGGTCCTCGGGTAAATGATAAGGGATCTTTTATGTGCACGCCAATTTATACACGGGTCCTCGGTTTTCGTACCATCCGAATGACTAGACAGCTGTCCTTGTCAGACCCTCCGCCCTACTCCAATGACAAGGGGAAACCACGCCGGCGAATGGAGGACAAGACAGGAGTCTTCTTTATAAAAAAAATCACCAGGTGTCGAGTGGACGTTGAACCCCATATCATTCTAACTCTAGGTCGCAGATAAATCTTTAATCTTCACAAGATCGATAAATTATCAGATAAGTAGGGTGAATAACGAGCTTTTCTATGACATCATTCAAAAATAGCTCTCACAGTTTGCTCCGCAGCTATTTGGCGTCAATGACGTAGGTTGCAGTGCGTGATAAAGCCGTGTTTGAAAGGGAGTGAAACCAAAGGGAGTGTTAGTTTCTCAACAATTCTTCAAATTACACTGGGTTTTTTTTTACCTTTTTTGAGTCTCGAAATCGGAGCCCTGTTTCTCGAAATTTTAACTAAAGATAAAATCCAAATTTTAGTAGATACTTCAATTTTAATTGGCTAAGCCAGTGATTCTCAACACATGTGTGCCGCGAGATGTTCCTAAGTGTGCCGCGAAATATTGAACAGCACACTAAGAAAATTTCTCACTAAGAAGCCGGCTATTTGACTGATGAAATTCGAAACGCTGCAATAAAGTAAGTTCATAGCTGTGTTTTTCTTTATTTAGTTTGTGTGTATGACTAGTCTGTGTCTACGGCTGTGTGCCGTCTATGACTTGCCATGATTTTATTTTGCAAAATCCAAATATTTTTCATATATATTTAGCCAGGTGTGCCGCTATTTTTTCATGTGTTCCAAGGTGTGCCGTTGGCGAAAAAAGTTTGAGAACCACTGGGCTAAGCACTAAAATCAATTTAATATTATCCAATCAAATTACTAAAATTTGGATTTCATCTTAGTTAAAATTTCGTGAAACAGGCCTCTGGTGTACAAACCACTTCAAGAATTAATGTGTATCACCATAAAATGGCCGGTTTCGTATTATAGAACCACAATAGACTATACATTTACGCAATTCAGACAAAATTGGCGATCTCCTCAATTTTCCATGCAGCATTTTTGCTAATTGTTGACTACTTATTGCTATCTTTTGACTGTACCCCCTGTTCCAAAATGGGAGCAAAGGTGACTCACAAACTAGGACATTTTATGATAAGGTCTAAATATTAAGGCCACTGCAGATTTCGTAAAGGTCACGAGATGTAAACAGGGCTAGTACTAACCCTAACCCTAACCCATAATCTCGTCAACAATCACGTGCCCTAACCCTATTTTACATCTCGCGAACTTGACGAAATCTGCAGGTGGCCTTAATATTTAGACCTGACCGTTGGTTTCCTCTTGTCAGTGACACGGGGCCTGGCAAAGTATAACGTCTAATCGTTCGGATGGGACAAAAAAAACACACTCCGTGAACACGTTGGCGTGTGCGTAATATATCCCAGAAATTCGAGAAAAGTCGCTGCCCAGGCGAAATTACGTCCATGCCACACTACTTGGCGTATGCTACCCAGCTTCATTACTCTAGGTTTTGCAAAATAGCAAGAGTTTATACCCCACCCCTTTTGCAATTTAAATCAATTTTAGTCCACAACTTACCTGTATTATAGGGAATCTTCCCATTCCATTCGACAGATAAAACACTTCCAAGTGGCTTACAAAATCGAATTCTTCCCCAAACAACAGTGTTTAGAAAATATTGAGGGTCGTCAGGAGTATTCCATCAAGTCGTGCAGGTAAAACTTGACAATGTTTTAAAACCGTAGAAAAATTCAAAACTGAATTCCCACGTCACATAATCTTTTGCTTCTGTTATCGTAGACGATATTCTAAAAATAATCTTTCAGGTCTTATCGTAAAGGCCATTTGTGGTGGAATCATGACAAGTGCATGTCGACCTTAAAGCGACACTGATATTCCCACGTCACATAATCTTTTGCTTCTGTTATCGTAGACGATATTCTAAAAATAATCTATCAGGTCTTATCGTAAAGGCAATTTGTGGTGGAATCATGACAAGTGCATGTCGACCTTAAAGCGACACTGATATCGACTGTGGCGTAACTGGATGAGGAGGTGGGGGCAAAGGGGGGGGGGGCAGTTTGGGCGACGTAAATTTATAAATGGAGGTAGGAATAGGCATGCCAAGTGTGAGCAGTTGAAGCGCCGCAAATGTACAGGTGGGGGAGGGGATGGGGCGAGGGCAGTTGATGCAGCGCAACTGATCCTCTTAGGCGAATAGACAGGGGTTACCTAGAACGAAGCGCAACAGAAATCATGTCTTTGAGAAAAACAGCCCTGGTATGGTTTCTACCAGAATGGGCCATTATATCGATGCTGGTCGAGATCCATTCTGTGGGTTTTTCCAGCTTGTTTCCCACTATCAGCGACTCAAGACAGGTCCGGGATCCGGACACATTAGTGGTATTTAGTCGTTCGAATTGGTCCCACGTTAAATGAAATGAAATGGGGTTTAACGTCCCACTGTTCTGCTCCTAACCTGGGCTAATGAAACGGGCATACGCCATACAGTGTGCTATGAGGGAAATTTTGCCCGGACAGCGGCACTACGGCCTACTCTTATATCGAATTCCAACTGCCAAGGGATCTTTTACGTGCACGCCAATGTGTACACGGGACCTCGGTTTTTCGTCCCATCCGAACGACTAGACAGCTGTCCTTGTCAGCCCCTCCGTCCTACATCACTGACAAGGGAGAACCACGCCTGAAAATCTGGATGAACTTTCTCGGCCAATGCAGGGATCGAACACCCGACCTCCAGGCTAGCGAGCTAGCGTCTTACCCACTTAGCCACGTGATCCCCGGTCCCACGTTAAAGATATCGCCGCTGTCTGGGTAAAATTCCCATTATAGCAGATTTCATGACATATACTCGTCATCATTTTCCCAGTTTGTGCAAAAAAGGTATTTAGTCTTTCGAATGGGACGGAAAAACGAGGTCCTGTGTATAGAATTGGCGTCACGTTGAAGATATCGAAAAACGAGTGGGATGTAGCGCTGCTGTGTGGGCAAAATTCCCATTATAGCACATTTGATTTTGCCAGTTTGTGCAGAAAGGTAGGATGTTAAGCACCATTTTATTAATAGTATTCACAGATTTTATTCTCAACTTTAATCAAATAATTGAATTTATTTTGAAATTTACAAACAGAAACGGAATGAACAGATTGGAATTGCCAGGAGAGTAGTTTGAGTTCACATGGTACCAAAGATCTGACTGACTTGTTATAATATACCTGCAATGACAAAGACGATTAATACAAATTAACATACGAATTAAACAGCTTGCTTGCAGAGGGGGGGGGGGGGGTCGTCTTGAATACAGCGGTCATGGTTACAACGACATCCAAAATTAAACAGCTTGCTTGCAGGGGGGGGGGGGGCAGTCGTCTTGAACGCAGCGGTTCTGGTTACAACGACATCCAAAATTAAACAGCTTGCTTGCAGGGATGGGGGGGGGGGGGGCAGCCGTTTTGAATGCAGCGGTTCTGGTTACAACGACATCCAAACTCTGGAATCCAGTTAAAGTTACAGACGGCAATTCATGTTTTTGCATGTAATCTATCAGGTAATTAATTACAGACCACAGAATTTCTACCAAATCATTCTTTTGATAGTTCAAGACCGCTCTGATTTTGATAAAACTAAAAACAACATAAAAGCGTCGATTCAATGCGTATTGAACGTGTTCTAGTCTCTGTTTCCTAGTCTTCAAAGTACGGAGGATCTGGGTCCGTTGTCAACATTTGCTGAAAAATTCCATTGTCGTGCGTAACCAAGGGTGTTGGATATTGGACTGCCAATGCAATCAAATGGATTTTCTGAAATGGCAATTCTTAAATTAATTTCATGGGCGTGAACATCTTGTTTTGGGGCTAGTTACCTTTCTTATATTTTGTTCACGATAATTAAACGACCGGATAATCTAACCAATGACCTGGTTCACTCGGCAATCCTCGGCAAATTGCAGCCTCGACTGTATAACGGTAAGTGATATGTACCTACGCCTATACCGATTTACTTAGTAGGAAAACTTGCCGGTTTTAAAAGACGTTATCAAAATTGCGTCGTTCGATGCGTGTATATAATTTTCAGTACAAAATTGTCCTTGTTTGAGGAGAATCGGATAAACTTGAAAGCTTCAGACTTTGAAATATTTTTATGATAAAACATTCTTCAAAGGCGTCGTCATGGGCAACGCCTTTGGTAATCCGGGAACTTGAAAGTAGTTCCATTGGCGGACTTCGTCATACAGCCGAGGCTGTAGGGTACTGGAATCTGCTGAGGTTTGCAGGGTGTGACCTGGTTATTCTCAAATATTGACAGCCCATCCAGACTATTCGTGGAATATTTGTCTAAAAGATAGAGACTAGATGTGTTTACGTCTCAGCATTGAACAAGCCTTCCCGGAGTTTACGCTCATGTGACCAAATACAGTTGGTGATCACAAGGTGGAGAATGAAAACATTTGGGGCAAGAGCTTTTAGTTTTCTTGCTCAATCAAAATGGAACGATCTTCCAGTGTTCATCAAAAGTGCTCCTTCTATTGAGTGTTTCAAATCCAGACTTAAAACATACCTATTTCAACGCTATATCTAATTTAAAATTGTGTGTAGAAAGCGCATAGAGCATACTTTAAGTGTGGAATTGACGCTATACAAATGTTCATATTATTATTATTATTATCCAGCATGACGTAGACTGATAACAAGACCAATAATCGAGACTACGTTAATGGTGGCGAGGGTACCCGATACTCAAGAGTATGTGGTCTGGGTCTCCACGTGACAGCGCTTGGCAATCGTCGGAAACGGTTTAGCGCTATTTCATTCAAACATCCAAAACTTAAAGTTTAAAGTAATTTGACTGAAATGTTCATCTTACTTTTTTCCATTTTTGAACTATTACAGCAAGAATGACCAGATCTTTCTCTAAATCTTACATAATGTATCTTTAACTATTCGTCAAGCTGTTGGTGGGATATAATAAATTAAAAAACAAAATAAACGACAACCTACTTAAAACTGGCGGCTGATAGGAAGTAGTGAGATTTTATTTGGTAGGGGGTGGTAATTCGTCTCCGCCTTCTGGTCGTTCTCCTTGGCCTTCTGGCCGTTCTCCTCCGCCTTCTGGTCGTGCACCGAACTCTTCTAGAGCTTTACATAGGTTTTCTACTAATTTACCAGGACCCGTCCTTAGTTCACCTGCTGGTTCACCTTCAGGTCCACCTGACAGCTCATTAAGAAGTCTCTTAAGCTCGTCAAGGGGTTTCTCTTCTTTTCGGGCTTCAGGCCTCTCGGGGTGACAAAATACCATCTTGAAAAATGCACCAAGGGGCATTCTCAGGAAATCTGCGAGTAAATAAGACCAATAAATAAACTACTAGAATACATAACTACACTGTAAAAATGCTTTTTTGGAGAAATTGTGTTAAAAGTGTGAATTATTTCTTCAAATTTTATGTATTTATATGGAATATTCAGTATTAAACAGAAAATGTCCGTGAAATTTAGGGATAAAATGTTTTATAATCGACGTAATTCAGTTATTTTACGGAATAAACTTTGGAATGACCCGGAATTTCCGTGAAATTTAAGGATAAAATGTTTTATTTGATTCTGTTATGTTACGGGATAAACGGTGGAATGACCAGGAATTTACGATTATTTCTGTTTGCAAATCGAACGATAAGCAATCGTATACATATAATCATTCCTAATAATTATCATGTTATAGTATTCATTTCAATTTATTAACCATAATTATGAAGAATCATATTTTGTAACGTTTGGTATATTAATTGTCATGTATATCTAATTTCCATTATTTATAAGATCTATAAAGTTTATTGTTATTCATCATACGTTAATCAGATTGTAAGTATTTTCATAAATGTATAAAAATTTATTTTAACGCTCCGTGTGTATAGGTTTGTATTATCTGATAACCAAGCACGCTTAAATCCCGATAGTATTACCGATTGGCCAGTGTAAGCCGGTTTGTCTCTATGGCAGAGTTTATAATATACCTGCACATTGATGGTATCGCAAGCTTACATCTGAAAGCCTCTAACTGGTCCATTCACTGACGAGTAACGGTTCGTGATACGGTGCGCTCGTCTCTCGATTAGGATATTCCGTATTCTTATATTAGCGGAAAGAGGTTGCGTATAAGGACTGTCTGCGATATCACTTCGGTGAAAGCGGACGTTAAATAAAGCTATTTCACACACGCGTAGAAAGTCAATGGTTAATTCAATGAAATTTTTATCACTTTCATGCTCAGGAAACAAAAATTACCAGGATTATTTTTTCTGTATTTAATTGAAGGAATTTCTGTAAATTACAGGAAAAACAAATACGGATAAAATTTTCCTGGTATTTTTGTTACAGTGTGCTGTCAGTTCCCGCTTACCATATCATCTATGCTGAAACAGGCAAATGAAACCAACTGGTGACTTTGCTGTTTCCAGCTACCAGCGTAGACATCATTTAATATGCGAAAAGCATGGAACTTTTTCCTAAATTGAATTTAGTTTATATGGATAAACCTACCTTTTCCCATTCTTTCTCCAGTTTCTCCCCCGTCGCTGACGCTTCCCTCGTCTGGGCCGTTGGTTTCTGGTGGTGAATCATTATCGCCGGGCCCCTGTCGTCTGGCTAACAAACCTCTTAAAACGTGCTCAAGTTCAGTTTCCTTGGGTCGAGGGTAAGCAGCTACCAGACCCACGCACAAAACACCCAATATAACCAGATTATTCATTTCTAGAAGGACAAAATAGAAACATTAATTAGATGTAATAGACATGAAATGAAATGAAATGGGGTTTAACGTCCTACTGTTCTGATCCGAACTGGGCTAATGAGGACGGGCATACGCCATACCGTGTGCTATGGGGGAAATTTTGCCCGGACAGCGGCGCTACGGTCTACTCTTATATCGAATTCCAACTGTCAGGGGATCTTTTACGTGCACGCCAATGTGTACACGGGATCTCAGTTTTTTTCGTTCCATCCGAACGACTAGACAGTTGTCCCTGTCAGGCCCCCTGTCCTGCATTGTAATACACATATAAACAACATGGACAGAATTTTCTACAATGTTAATTTAACTCTACACTCACGCCAAAATTTGAACTTAAAGTAGATAAGTCTCTAACTCAATATCATCCAAAATCTTCGACATTGAAAACACGATTTATTTGTCGCTTTAAATCAATATTGATGTTGTGATCTTACCGGTAAAAGATGGCTTTCGGATATCCAATATTTAAGACAAAATAAACATTTTACCATTGATACACGAATCGTGTACCGCAGTGCGTTTTAGTGTCATTTGCAACAAGTGACCAGAAAGAACGAGGCTAGACATATTCAACTGGAGAGCCTGCTTAATAGACTGGAATAACCAGACGCTAGAAATTGCTATAGGGTTGAGACACATGCTGTATTTCGCTGGACATAACTGATTTGAAATTAGAGTCAAAACAGAAACAATTGAATGTAAATCAGTTTATATACAATCAGATTACATTATTATATGCGTTTCGACCCATTTGAGTCAATTTCTAGGTCCTAAATATTAGCGATTTAGCTCCTTTAATTTCTACAATCCCGTAGAAATACTAGCACACTTCTACTATCACATCAGGTGAGTTGGATGCCCGATTGGTTAGTGCGCCCGCGTTGCATCATAAGGTCTGTCATTGAGTCAACGGGCGTGGTTTCGATTCCCCGGTTGCACGTGGCAAGGAGTAAGGTCACCTGTTAAACCTCGTGGGTTTTTCTCCGGGTCCTCCGGTTTCCTCCCACTCCCTAAGCCCCCTTCGCGGAAGTGTATTATTGATATAAAATTGAACCATATGTTAATCCCGAAATAACCTAGTTTGTGTCGAGTGGACGTTAAACTTAATTTAGCCATGTTAAACTTTGAACATAATTCAACAGTGAGATGAAAACATGAACTTAATTCAACAGTTGCATCAAAATGTGAACTTAATTTAACGGTTACATACATCAAAATTTGAATTCAAAATAAGAATGAGATGAAGCAGAGAAGAAGGATTTCTATGAATTAAATATCAAAATTATTTTCTTCATTAGCCCAGTCTGTGCAGAACCGTAGGACGTTAAACCCCATTTCATATCATTTCAAACATTATAATGTATTGTCCGAGATTGAATGTATTTTGATGAAAACTGCAATAACCGAACGACTGGATAGTGAAGTCTATATGGGATATGACGATATTAATATGAAGGACTGTTTATGTCATGTAACCCAGTAATACTCAGTGACTGGAACAGCCCATGGTAGCCATTGTGTGCTAATATCAAACAATAGAGACCAAATGACCTTATAAACATCCCCTCAATGGGTGACAATCGAGGCATACCACTTACACCGTCAATATGTATGGATGTGTCTATGCGACTATGTGCGCGTTGTATCATGAGAACTGTCATTGAGTCAACTGGCGGGGTTTCGATTCCCCCGGTTGTACGTGACAAGGAGTAGGATCGTCTGTCCAACCTCGTGGGTTTTCTCCGGGTCCTCCGGGTCCTCCGGTTACCCCCCCCCCACTGCTAAAAACCCCTACGCGCAAGCGAATTATGGAAATAAAATTAAACCATATGTTAGTCCCGAAATGAGCTAGTTTGAGTTTGTGTCGAGTGAACGTTAAACCCCACCTCTCTCTCTCTCTCTGTCTCTCTCTTTCTCTCTGTCTCTCTCTCTCTCTCTCAATAGGCAGATTTACCTCTTGCATAATGTATGTTTCAATACAACCTCAATATATACGGGTTTAAATCATCCATTCAACATCATTTTTTTGTTTCATTTTGGGACTAACATATCATGCAACTTTATTTCAACAATTCGCTTGCGCGCGTAAGGGTCTTTAACAATAGGAGGAAACCACGCGATCGGGCAAGACCACGAAGTTTGATAAATTCCGAGAAACTTCTCGGCCAAACCCGGGATCGAACCGGGTAGGATATTCAACTTCTACGCAATAAATAGATGATTTGCCTTATTTAAACATACATTATGCGAGAGCTAAATCTGCCTTTTGCAGGTCTTTCTTTAGAACTTAAATCTTATCTGAATTATTAATTAGACATTAATTAACTTATCCAGACCATAAGAACTCTCGATGCCATCGCTACCCTGCAACATTTAGCGGATTGGAACACATTTTTCGAAAAATAATTAAACGTAAAAATGGATACTCCAGACTTTGTTTTTATAGTACCGACTTTAGCAATGATGATCGAGGCTAGCATAAAATTCAAAAGCTGATATCTCGGTTCCGAGTTGAGCACATTGACTGACATTTTCAGCATATTCCCTTTACGTTATCTATTTTAGCGATAACTATCAACAGTGTATCTCATCTTCCATAAAGTATCTTTAACTAGCTATATTCCTCGTGGGTTTTCTCCGGGTCCTCCGGTTACCTCCCACTGCTAAAGACACCTACGCACAAGCGAATTGTTGAAATAAAATTAAAACAGGTGTTAATCCCGAAATAACCTAGTTTGTGTCGAATGGACGCTACCCCCCCCCCCCCTCTCTCTCTCTCTTAGCTATGTGCACGTAACTAAGGAATAAATAGAGTAAAAATACTTACCGAGAAAATCTGTCAAACAGTGTTGAGAAATCTAGCTGAAATAATGTGGAGTTCTGTCTGAGTGGCGTCTTATATACAAGTTGCAATGAATAGACAGCTAGTTACCTATAGTATTTATCAAACAATATCTAAAGACGTCAACTTTAACCCTAACTATTTTGACAAACAACAACACGATACCTTGAATTAAAAATACCAACGTTTTTTTAAAGCATCGAGGCCCAATACACATTAAAAAATTACAGTGTTGTTTTCACGGCTATATACTCTGCATTGCTTTCGAATATGGACAGAAGGTTAACGCCACCCTTTACTGCACGGCATACGCGATGTACATAGTGAGACACTTTGCCCGAACAGCGCCAAGCGTTCTTTTACGTGCACGCAAATGTGTACATGTTGTATTTTAGGAACATACTCATCATCAGCAACACACTCGACTTACGGAGCACGTAGGAATATTAGTATCATACTCGACTTCCAGAACATGTACTAAGGTAACTGTCATACTCGACTTCCACAACACGTACGAAGGTCACTATCATACTCGACTTCCAGAACATGTACGAAGATAACTGTCATACTCGGCGGCTTCCAGAACACGCACATAGATAACTATCAAACTCGACTTCCAGAACACGTACGAAGATAACTATCAAACTCGACTTCCAGAACACGTACGAATGTAACTATCATACTCGACTTCCAGAACACGTACGAAGGTAACTATCATACTTCCAGAACACGTACGAAGATAACTATCATACTCGGCTTCTAGAACACGTACAGAGATAACGACACAACTCGCTTTCACGGACACGTACGGAGATAACGACTATAATCGCCTTCACGAAGACGTGTGGAGATAACGAACATGCTTGTCTCCACGAACACGTACGGAGATAACGATGCTACTTACCTGCACGAACACGTGACGAGATAAAGATCATACTCCACAGATACATAATTATATAACACGAATACTGGGTATTAACACAATTTACGACCAGGAACACCTTCTTTAATCAACAGAGACTACTACCAATGTGTACACTGTTTACTACTTCATCGGAAGGACTAGAAACTTTTTTTGTAGCCTCCACAAGCGCTGCACCTAGCACATGATTTTTCTTTTTCTCGTTTGGTTGGAAATCGAACCCATGCCATTACAGCCTTGAGTCTAACTCCCCAATAACTTATCCCCTCCCACACATAATTGACAATTAGATTTCGAAACATGAGTAAGCCGTTATCTTGGCAAAATTGGAATCATATAGCACAATGTATGGTGTATGCCCGTTTTCGTTAGCCCGGTCGGTGCATTAAAATAGGACTTTAAACCCCATTTTATTTCATCAAAGTTATAGGAGCGCTGATGTCTGGGCAAATTTCCCCATAGCAACACAGTGTATGACGTATGCTCGTCTTCGTTAGATTAGTTGGAGCAGAATAATAGGAATAGGAAGGTAACCTCCATTACACTTCCTCCAAGTTGGGAGGGGGAGGGTGGTAGCACATGCGCGTTGTATCATAATGTCTGTCATTGAGTCAACTGGCGGGGTTTCGATTCCCCGCTTGTACGTAATAAGGGGTAGGGTCGTCTGTCCAACCTCTTGGGTTTTCTTGGGTCCTCCGATTTCAGTCCACTGCTAAAGACCCCTACGCAGAAGCGAATTACTGAAATAAAATTGAACCATGTGTTAGTCCCGAAATGACCAATTTTGTGTCGATTGGACGTTAATGTAGGAGTGGGGGGTGGACGAATAGTTAGCACGTGCGCGCTGTATCATAAGGTCTGTCATTGAGTCAACTGGCAGGGTTTCGATTCCCGGTTGTACGTGGCAAGGAGTAGGTCGCCTGTCCAACCTCGTGGTTTTTTCTCCGGATCCTCCGGTTTCCTCCCACGGCTAAAGACCCCAACGGACAAGTGAATTATTGAAATAAAATTGAACCATGTGTTAGCCACGAAATGACCTAGTTTGTGTTGTGTCGAGTGGACGTTAAACCCCATTCTCTCTCTCTCTCTCTTCCTCTCTCTCTCTCTCTTACTCCGAGAAAACGTAAAGTTTTAAACGTTACTGGTGGTGTTTTTTTACAGTGTGTTTCGGTTGACGTACTGATATTCCATTGGTTCCGATTCACCGCGTGCCCACAATACAGCTATATAAAAATAGGATCAACGCCTATCCAACCTTTTATGAAAAATGATAAGACTCAGGGAATAATTATTTATCTATCTTGGTTTTCCTTTCTTCAAAATCATGGAATTTATATCAGTTCACTAACTTTTGAAATCTTTAATAATTTATTCTTTGTTGCTTGGATATTCACATAATTACCTCGGAGTAAATTGCGAAATATCATATCATATGATTACTGTACACTCCGTGATCTGTTTTTCTTCTTTTTTTTTCTTTTTTTCTTTGCTTGAGCTTTTTTTAGAATTTTTGTTTATTCATTACTGACTAAACCCCTAGCGTTAAGTCGCTCGTAAAAGAGATTGAGTAAATTTACAGGTATCTGACGGTTCCGCTCTATTACTGACTAAATCCCCAGGTATCTGACGGTTCCGCTCTATTACTGACTAAATCCCCAACGGTCAATCATTGGTAAAAAAAAATGACGAATTTACTGCAGGTATCTCACGCTTGAGCGTAGGTGTCTTTTGTAGCGAGAGGAAACCGGAGGACCCGGAGAAAACCCACGAGGCTGGACAGGCGACCCTACTCCTTGTCTCGTACAACCGGGGAATCGAAACCCCGCCAGTTGACTCAATGACAGACCGCACGTGCTGACCATTCGGCCATCCAACAACACCCCCCCCCACCCCGTGCAAAATGTGAATTATGTACAAAGTTTTTTGACTCTCTAAAGCCCACAATTTGTGGTCGGATTCAGGTGAAACTTAACTTAGGCTTATATGTGAAGGAGATTATCTTGTTGGCGTTCGATGTTTGTCTCAGACCTCGACGTCCTGAAGGGGGCTTGGATGTTCGAATAGTTAGCACGTGCGCGCTGCATCATAAGGTCTGTCAATTAGTCAACTGGTGTGGTTTCGATTCCCCTGTTGCACTTAACAATGAGTAGGGTCGCCTGTCCAACCTCGTTGTTTTTTTTCAGGTCCTCCGCCCCCCCCCCCCCAACTGCTAAATACCCCTTTATTTGAAATAAAATTGAACCATATGTTAGTCCCGAAATGACCTAGTTTGTGTCGAGTGGACGTTAAACCCCATTTCTATCTCTCTCTCCCTCTCGTTGGTAAAAGAGAACGAGTAAATGAACAGGTTATCTCACGGTTCCACTCTATTGCGCCGATACAATCTCTCCGAATTATAACTCGTGATGTGGTTTTCATTGGTTTTCTTCTTTAATGTCTTCGTTAAAAATATTTTTATTTCCACTTTACGTATTAAGCGTTCCTTTTATGTCTATTTCGGCCTAACACTCTATTACCTGGCCCGAATCCGGCGCGGCGGTGGCTCGGTGAGTGTCTCGCTGGCTCATTAACCCTGAAGTCCTTGATTCCGTCTTGATTTCTTCTTCTCAGTGATACAGGATGGTGGGTGTGGTAAGGTAAATAGCGCCTAGTTATTCGGGTAGGACGAAAACCAGCGGTCCACCCGTGTATCCGCCGGCGTGCACGTAACATATCCCTGGACAGTTAGATACACGTCTTCTAATATTAGAGGTCGCAATTTTTATCTGATTTTGGTGAAACCTAAATATATATTTATTTCCCAAATATTTTTATTTCCACTTTACGTATTAAGCGTTCCTTTTATGTCTATTTCGGCCTAACACTTTATTACCTGGCCCGAATCCGGCGCGGCGGTGGCTCGGTGAGTGTCTCGCTGGCTCATTAACCCTGAAGTCCTTGATTCCGTCTTGATTTCCTCTTCTCAGTGATGCAGGATGGTGGGTGTGGTAAGGTAAATAGCGCCTAGTTATTCGGGTAGGACGAAAACCAGCGGTCCACCCGTGTATCCGCCGGCGTGCACGTAACATATCCCTGGACAGTTAGATACACGTCTTCTAATATTAGAGGTCGCAATTTTTATCTGATTTTGGTGAAACCTAAATATATATTTATTTCCCAAAGCTGGGTTCAATTTTGGTGCCCTGGTTCCCCCTTGTCAGTGATGAGGGACGGAGGTCCTGACAAGGACAGTTGTCTAGTCATTCGGATGGGACGAAAAACCGAGGTCCCGTGTACACGTTGCGTGCATGTAAAAGATCCCTTGACAGTTGGAATTCGATATAAGAGTAGGCCGTAGTGCCGCTGTCTAGGCCAAATTTCCCTCATAGCACACTGTGTGGCGTATGTTCGTCTTCATTAGCCCAGTATAGGAGCAGAACAGTAGGATGTTAAACCCCATTTCATGACATTTCAATTTTGGTGCGCACCGGGCCCAGCTTGCAATTTACGAATAATTGTTTAAAAATGTACACAGTTCGTTGAACTTCCAGGGGCCACAATTTTTATCAGATTCAGATGAAATTGAACATATATGTGTGACGGATCAAAAGATCTTGGAAGAGTTCGATTTTGTTGCAAATAATATCGCAACGTCGTGGGTTATGGCACTTGCCTTTATGCAAAATGTGGGAGAGGGGAGAAATGGGGGTTTAACGTCCAACCGACATAAACTAGGTCATTTCGGACTAACACATGGTTCAATTTTATTTCAATAATTCGCTTGCGCGTAGCGGACTTTAGCAGTGGTAGGAAACTGGAGGACCCGAAGAAAAACAACAAGGATGGACAGGCGACCCTACTCCTTGTCACGTATAATCAGGGAATCGAAACCACGCCAGTTGACTTAATGACAGACCTTATGATACAGCACACACGCGCTATCCATCCGGCCATCTACCCTCGCTGTCTGTCTCGGACCTCTTGGGATATGGCGCTTGCCTTTTACACAAAATGTGAATTGTACAAAGTTTATGGACAGCCCACAATTTATGTCCGATTTCTTGCTGGCTGCGAAACGCACAAACAGTTCAAGCTTCACAGTCCAAAAATATATACAGTGGACCCCGGTTGTCCCGGGGCTATATATGTTAAGACACTGCACAAGGATGTGAAATTTGTGACTTTAACCCCAGTTTTCAATTTATGAACTAGACTATTGTAATTGTTTCTTCACATAAT